TTACAAATCGCATTTAAAAATAATTTAAAATTGATAGGTTACTTTAAAAGCAGATAACTAGCCTTGAAACAACTGCCGTCCTAGAGAATAAAAAATGGGAAAAAAGAGAAAGCCAGTGTTGTTGTTGCTACAAATGAAAAAGATGGAAAAAATATGTGCCGTACAATAGGGGCAAACAATTGTACAAACGAGAGAGAGAGAGAGAGAGAGAGAGAGCAGTAGAGGCAGACTGGAGAATGAAGGGCGCATGCTCCAAGACCGCTGGCAAGTCGATCGTTTCCTCTCTCAGCAGTCGGGCTCACTTCTTCCCTGTTTCTTCATTCTTTTTCCCTGTTCTTGAAATTTTCATTTTGCCGACCTCCCCTTTGAGTCGAAGGATCTTGCGAGAAGTGGTGAGTGAGCCAGTCAGTGAGTGCGAGGCTGAAGAAAACGAGAAGAGAAAGAGAAGGAGGCAGGGTGCAGTGTTGGGCCAAAAGCGAGGAACGGTGTCACGCAGGCCTCGCCGACTCGATGTGTGTCAATAGTGAGAGAACCCAAACTGAGAGAAAGAGAGAGAGAGAGAGAGAGAGAGAGAGAGAGAGAGACCAGAATTCTCTCTACGATTTCGTCTCAACTTGCCGTGCTTGCCAGTAAACTTGTCAGTCTGAATATTTGCCTGGCAAAGATCGCACTGATCTGCGGCCAGCCGAAGCACTGATCGGCAGTAGAAAACGCGTACTAGTTCACGAGGAATTGTACCTCAATCGAAGCTTCAATTCTCTCTCNCTCTCTCTCTCTCTCTCTCTCTCTCTCTCTCTCTCTCTCTCTCTCTCTCTCTCTCTCTCATCAGTCTTTTTATCATCACTTGTGCAAACAAGCATTTTTATGAGTTGTTTCTCTAACAGACGACTTTGACTTGCAGCTGCTCCACTCAAATCGGTGTTTGCCGGTGTCTAGCAGTTGTGATACTCTAAATTTGCTTGCTTCAATCACTATTTTTCTTGTTTTTTTCTGTAAGTAAGTGCACCCTACTTTCATAATTGTTGTTGTTACTATTTTTGGTTGTTTGGCTTACTGCTCCAAAGGAAGACACTGGCACCACCGGCATACACGCTGCTGGTCATTTCTGTTTGCATGAGCTTCTTACTTAAACTACTTCCTTTGCAGTTCACTTTTCATGACTTATTTACTCTCTGCTTTGGCTGCCAAAACAGCTTCAGTTTGTCCGTCAATTGCCAGCTGATCGACCAGCATTCACTCATTCGTCTGAGGACAAGTATTTCACCAGGACACTGATTGAACGGTAATTTAAGATTGTTTGCCTTTATTGTTTGCTATTTTCCCAATGCGGGTTCATCTAGTTGTATTGTTTTTCATTTATGCTCACCTAATTTTTGCAAAAATTGCGTGCTTCTTCTATTGTGTACCAAGAGATAGAGGATAACTTCACTGCATGCATTTACCGTCAGTTTCCACAAAACTATCTTTTTTTCTGATCAGTAATTTTCTTTTGGTCTATTCTATTTGTTCTGCCCTAGATGAGCTTTGATTTTGGCACGATCAACGACATTCCACCACACCGCCAGAATGGCGGCGACAGTGGATCGGCGGGAAATGCTCGACACTGGCGACTGAAAAACAAGCGAGGCTCCAGTCTGGACAATGAGCTGTCGGTGTCTCGCTCCATCGAAGAAGTGGAGGGAGAAAACAATGGCGGTCTGAACAACTACGGCACTCAGTACGGCACTCCGATCGACTATCGCACGCAGAGTTCACTCTCAGAGAATGATGGTGTGGGCAGCCTGGGTGGCCTGGTGGGCACTCTCGGCACCTCGGCCACACTGCCTGCTGGCATGGGAAACGCCATTGCTGCGGCCAGTGCCTCTGCCAATGTCGTCAATAACTTTCGCTTCTCTACCGACGAAATAAGCCAGTTCAGACAGGAGGCTACCTTAGACGGAAACACCGAGCAAACTGGTGGAGGCACTGGCGGGCGAAGTACACGAGCCACCACTCCCGGCGATGAGCAGATCTTCCAGGAGCCGGTTGAGTCCTTGCAAATTCGAATCGGCCGACTGCTCAGTTGTGAGGAGATGTGTGACATGCACTTTCTCGTCGGCGGTGGAATGCTGGTTAGTAGTCTGCGNGAGCAGATTTTCCAGGAGCCGGTTGAGTCCTTGCAAATTCGAATTGGCCGACTGCTCAGTTGTGAGGAGATGTGTGACATGCACTTTCTCGTCGGCGGTGGAATGCTGGTTAGTAGTCTGCAAAAATGTTTTTGTTTCTTTACAAAATATTAAACTACAATGCTTGTCCAATATAGGTAAACAATGGAAGTGTAAACAATAGCCACACACCGAGCTCAAACGGTCAAACTCCAACCACTCCACAGCAACGCAAACTGCGCATTCCTGCTCACCGACTGATCATTGCTAGCGCTAGTCCCGTCTTCAAGCAGCTTCTCTTTGACTCGGCCACCAATCAGCTGATCGTGTGCGATGAAGACATTGAGATAACAGACATTGAGCCAGCTGCATTTCTAGAATTTCTGCGATACGCCTACACTGACAGTGCCAGACTGACCAAAGACAATGCCGTCGGCGTGATGGTGGCCGCCCGACGCTATGAGATCACCAACCTCGAACGCCAGGCTATTGAATACATTCACAAGTGTTTAGCAAAAAAGTCCTGCATGGCCATTTGGCTGTCAGCACGAGCCTATGGTGAAAGGGACCTGGAGAGAGCGGCCCGCAAGTCAGTGAACCACTTTGCAGAGACCGCCCTCCTCTCCAATGATTTTCTGCGCGCCGACCAGGTGACAGTGTGCGAACTGATTGGCGACGATCTGCTCCGAGCAGATGAGATTATCGTGTTCCGAGCACTGACTCGCTGGGCAAAGCAGTGCTGCCTTCGAGCTGGCCTCTGTCCGACGCGTGTCAATGTGCGCGCCTTCATCGGGCCCGGTCTGGGCTTGATACGCTTTCCGCTGATGAGCGAGGAGCAGTTGCAACGAATGGTCGCCGCTGAAGGCATTCTCGACGACGAACTGCTCCGAGCTCTAGTGCACTGCTCTCGCAACTGGCCCAGAGTCTCCAGTCTCATCTCATCAGCAGGTGGGCCACTGTCATTTCCAAATGAGCCACGAACCTTTCAAAAGCTGCACAGTGGCCGAGTGCACAACGGTAAGTTTGTTAGTAGAGTCTTCAGACCAGAGAGTACAGCAAAGTACGGTCGATTAGTTTATCAAACTTTGAGATCATTGTTCCAATTCACAGCTTGATTTTCTTTTCAGTTTTCCGCTTTGCCTCCTTTGAGAACACTCTGCCCAATCGATATCTCAATCGCTCGCTCAACTTTCTCACCAACAAACGTATCTGGTTGTCTGGCGTGGGCCTCTACGCGCCACGAAAAGCCTGCACATTTTACCTAAACGTTTGGGTACGAGTGCGTCGAGCTGACCACGAAGCGCAGACATGGAATTCCCCAATGGAACGTGTCGAGCAGACGGTCTTCCTCAAGTACGATGGATCGGGGCACATTCTCAACGTAGTTTTTGACGAGCCGCTGCAGTGCGAAGCAAACGTGCAGTACGAGGTGGCAGCCTGTGTGTCGCCCACCACTCGCTCCACCTCCATCGTCAGGGCCCGGCTTCACCCGCACCTCTACTACACGCGTCCCAGTGATGTTAACTTCTACTACGGCACTGAAGGGCAGTACGCGACAAAGGTGCGCATCAACAATCGCCAGGAGAACGTCATCTTCAACTTTAACTGGGAACGGGACACTGGCAGCATGCAGGAGGACTCACAGTCTGACTCGGCTTCCAATAACAACTTCTTTCCTGCAGCGACGGCTTCCTCTGAGCCAGCCACGCCGGCAAATCCTCCGCCGCCGCGACCACCACCGCCCACTGAATACCGTCGTCCATCACGAATGCAGCGACTGCGACGTGCACTGTCCTTTATTGATCGGCGCGAGGACGTGGCTACTCGAATCAGAGAGTCTGGCCTTCTTGAGGGTCAGATTCCACTTTTAATGTTCTACGCTTGATGTGAAGGTGCAGCTTAATATCAGTGCACAATCGTTTGACTGATTTTCCCTCTCCCAATCATTTTTCTCTGTCCATTCCAGTGTTTGCCAGTACGTGTGTTGTGTAACCGACAAACAAACAAACTTTCCTCGTATGATGGACAGTAATGTCCCGTCTAAACTATCACTCTTCTTTTACCCCTTTTGTTTTTGCTCCTCAATCCCATGTGCCACAATCAAACTGATATCCAATGCTCCCTTTTAGCCTCAATTTTCTAGTCACTTTGTTATTTAAATTCCCAGTCTTTTTTTAAATAGAAAACAAACCTACAAACAAATTATCTGTTCAAGCATATTCCAAACTTGAATCTACCCAATTTTCTCCTTTTTTTTCAAAACAATTATTTAACTTTTGATCAATTTTTTNCAATCAAACTGATATCCAATGCTCCCTTTTAGCCTCAATTTTCTAGTCACCTTGTTATTTAAATTCCCAGTCTTTTTTCAAATAGAAAACAAACCTATGAACAAATTATCTGTTCAAGCATATTACAAACTTGAATCTACCCAATTTGCTCCTTTTTTCAAAACAATTATTTAACTTTTGATCAATTTTTTTTTCTTAATTTTAAATGACACTGTTTTCAAAAACTTTCCAGAGAATCAAATCTTTACAAAATGCAAAACTCAATCACTACATACATTGTGCCCAAACAAATCAAACTCATTTTAAAAATTAGTTTTTGTTTAATTGTTATTTATTCTCAAAAAATTTATTTAGTTAAAATTTTATTATTTTGTTTGTCTTACACTGACACTTTTTAAATTTATTCTGTTACACTTTGTCAAATCATTTATTAAAATTACTTATCTGCATTTATTCAGTAACAAATATTTATTTTTAAATTTTTTATTGATTATAAAAGTATTTTAGTTTTTAAAAATTTGTTTGCTTTTATATTTTTAAATTTCAAAATACAGATTTCTTGATTTTAATTTAAATAAAAATTGATAAAAACTGTTACCTGTTTTACAGCAGTTTTTGTAAAATAGTCAACAGCTGGCGCCATAGTTAAAAAAATGTCAATGGTAAAATTAAAAAGATTTAGTTCAAGACAAAATAAATATTTTTTGGTTTTCGTAAATCAGAAGTGCTTTATTTTTTGTTGTACAAGTAGTTTTTTTACTGTAGTTTTATTTCTAAATTGTATTATATTCAGGCGCATTAAGCTAATTTATTTAGTATTTTTCATTGACATTTGTACACTTTAATGAAAGCAAATATGCTAATTATCAATTACTTAAACTGTGCGTACACTTCATCCTGTCCGCATTCATTTGAAATAACTTGCTGATGTGTATACTAATTGAAACTGTCGGTTAGGTGCTATTTCTATTCGATTATTCTAATTTTTAAAAAAGTAGTAATGCCTATTTTATGTTTACCAATATGACTGAACATTTTTAGAATTGATCCATTTTGCCTAATTACCCTATGTTTTTTTAATGTTTTACTATTGTTTGCAACATTACTTTAGTTTTCAGTGTTTTTATCAAAACAACTATATAAAAATAAACGCTAAATTATTTATTTCCGATGCAATTGCATGTTTCTTTAACATATTTTTGTCACACTACCATTAGGATTAAATTAATCAAAACAAATAAATACAATTGCCCAATTAATTTTAATTAAATTTTCAACAATAACAATTATTAATATAGTTGAGTGTGTAATTGTGCAAGATAGTTTGTGTCCGGTGTGTCTTTGTGTGCAGTGAGAAGGAAAACATACTTTGTAATAATTAAAAGTTTTCTAATTATGCATAATTTAAATACAAATGTAATGTGCTGCAAAAAGCAACAACACAAAAACAATTTGGGCTGCTGTACATTCTATTGTAGATCACTTTTTCATGCTACAAAGTTTGGAATTTGGTGTTTGTCAGACTGGACAGCTTGTGTGCTTGCTTGAATAAAGAGAATCATGTAGCAGAACAATGAAAGGGAAGGACTATGTACATTGTATAAAGGAAAAATGGACTTGGTCATTAAAGAGAAGAAAAAGGNCTTGAATAAAGAGAATCATGTCGCAGAACAATGAAAGGGGAGGACTATGTACATTGTATAAAGGAAAAATGGACTTGGTCATTAAAGAGAAGGAAAAAGAAAAAGGGAAAGTGAAAGAGGATGAAAACTGAACAGTGATGGGTGAACAATAAATAGGTGCAGGTGTGTGATGGTGTGTGTATAGTGGGTGTCTTTCATACTCGGTTTGACTGTTTGATCAGAAAGGGTTCCGTTTTGGTAACAAATGAGTATTGTATTAAAGTGCTGGCTTGGGATCTATGATCAAGTAAGTCAATTGACGACGGCATCAAAGATTAAAAGTGAGTCTACTTTTCTTGCTATTTTACACAGTCATTGTTTTGCCCGATAGTAGGGTGAGTACGTGAGAAAAGTCGACTGCCTTTTTATCTTTGATCAGTAATACCACCGTCAAAATGTACCACAGAGAAGAAATGGAGAGAATAGGGTTTTTATAAAAGAGAAAAGCAGTTTCAAGCAGTCCTTCTTGGTTATCCTGAACAGCCGTAACAATACCTTCGGTTGGAAGTGGGTAAGAAAATCTTAAACATTTTCCTCATACAAAAATATATCGACACGTGTTGTGTTGTGTATATAAACTCTCGCAGTCGGTAACAGTCGCAGTTTGTACTTTGTGGCTCGGTTAACAGCCTGCTTCGACCAACTGGCCAACAAGCCAACAACTGCTCTACTGGCCAGCAGGCGAACAAGCTCACAGGTGGACTTTGCTGAGACATCTTTGCCTCCAGTAACTTTACAGCCTCATTGTGCAAAAATAGAGTATTCTTTTGGCGAGTAGTACAGGGTAGTAGAGGTGGCGGTGCTGGTGGTGGAGGTCAATTTGGACTAGGAATCAACATTGGCAGAGATTGGTTGGGTTCTACTTCAGTAGGTGATGATTGCTGTCGGTGCGGAAAAGAGATTCTGTTAGTTACGAAGTAAATTCAGTTATTAAGAAGACTTACATGAATGGAATTGGTCACTTGCTCGCACAACCCGCTTTCTTACGGCTTCTTTGTTGGTACTTTCATTAGATGACCAAGACAAAGGGGAGAATGTAGAGCAAATCGACAATCAAGTGAGTCGCAACGGTTGTTAGAAGACTCTGCTTCACACTGGGTGCTGCATTGTTAGTGGAATCGATGCCTGCCCGACTGACTTCCTCAATTTCGGGTACCTCTTCCACGATGTCTTCGGCTGTGTTCGAGTGATAAGAGCACTGCCACGGATCAAAGTAAGCTTCGTTTATTAGTGGCTCATCTTTGAAGGTAAACACGCCACGGAACTTGTGGCGAAACAGCCATATCAGCTGACATGGGTTGTGCATCTCCTTTGGATTGCCGTGAAAGATGATCTCATGCGCAATGGGCGCCGCGAGAATGGGCCGAAAAATGGCAGCATCAAAGGCGGCGAGCTTCTTTAGGTACAGATTGATGGTCAGCGGCCGTTTGGTGTAGGTGAAGACGCCTCTTTCCAGTTTGCCCAGTTTGCCGTCCAGGTATATGTCCACTGACTTGTTGTTCTCCGCCTTCATGTCAAACGCATGCTGGCGGACATGATTGAGCGACTTGCTCAGGTGGAGAATGCGAACGTTGTACAGGTAGAAGAAGGCGTTGTTGTCCAGCTCCTCCAGTGGACCGCCCAAGTGCAGCTTTGCGAGAAGAGACTGCCGAAATGTGTAGGAGCGAATCTTGCGAATCTTGTGGTTGTAAATTTCCAGCTCCTCTAGATTTTCAATGGAGTTAAGTGCATCGAAAAAGGACTCCTGTGTTCCATCATTGACGGCAATGTGATCAAACTTGATCGCTCGAATGATCTGCTTTGTGCCGTTGAATGCCTCTGGATCGAAATGTTCTAGGTTGGTGCAGTTTCTGATGACAATCCGGCGAAAGCGAAAGTCACCGAACGCATTTCGATCAAGTTTTTTCAGGTTTTGGTTGTTGATCAGCATCAGCTGATCGAGTTCAGTGGTTTCGCTCTCCTCATCAAAGAGAAACTTGATGTTTCTGAACACTTTCTTTATATCGGCAAATTTATTTCCATCCAGTATGATGGTGTCAAAGCCGTCCACCTGCAAGCAAAAGGAGTCATCGCGTGATGGACACCTGGCAGAGACATGAGATACTGAAGACTGGAAGAGGAGAAGACAGAGGAGTGCAGCACCAAAAATGGTGCAGTACGTTGAGGTTCGATACTGTTCTTGAGCCATGATACAGTTTGGAGGATATCAGGATTCGGGTGGTGATTGGGCAGGACAGAGGAGTTGTGGCGATACTGGCAGTCGAGGTTGCAGAGATGCTGTGGAAAAGAGATGAGCACAGACACACAGACACTGAAGACGATCTTTTTTCAAAATACTTGGCTGGAAATTAACTGCAGTGTATTTTTTGTTAATTATTTTATTTCAAAGCTTTGTTCTCATCCCTGCTGGCGGCATATGAGACGATCACCGAGATGGGAACAATGCGAGTGAAGGTTGCAAAAGCACACTAATGAGATGTGCTCATTAGTGATGGCGCCTGTGTGCGCACTCGAGGAATCACGACTAGAGCCTGTAGACTGGAGCAGTTCGATAGTCTTCTAATGATTGCAATCTTGATTACGGTAGATCGCTTTTACCCGTTGCTTTGCTCCTGCTCTCTCTTTCTCTCTGGCGCACTTTCTGGTGGCTTTGCCTTCTATCGAAACGTGACAAAGCAATGTGCTGGTTAAACGGTTGCGGTTTTATTGTCGTTTTGTGGTCTGCGTGCGATGGTAAACGTTGAAATTTTCCGCTACTGCTCGGAGGAGACACAAAAACCCGAATCACCACAGGGCACACAGTTTTTTTNGCTCTCTCTCTCTCTCTCTCTCTCTCTCTCTCTGGCGCACTTTCTGGTGGCTTTGCCTTCTATCGAAACGTGACAAAGCAATGTGCTGGTTAAACAGTTGCGGTTTTATTGTCGATTTGTGGTCTGCGTGCGATGGTAAACGTTGAAATTTTCCGCTACTGCTCGGAGGAGACACAAAAACCCGAATCACCACAGGGCACACAGTTTTTTTGCTGCACACAATAAATTAATGCCAATTACAACTGTCAGAAGGGGTGAGAGAAAGGCTGGGCTGCTGAGCAGACAGAGCAGGCAGTTTGGATCTGTTTTGGATCGCCGGTTGTGTCTCTGCTACTGACTTCTGCTGCACTGGTACTAATTGCACTCTTACGTAATGGATGCAAGTGACGGCTAGTGTTGTGTGTTGTCAGCAGTTTGCTGCTGTGCCATTTATCAGAGCTGTTGCAGATGCGACCGCCAGAGAGATGATGATGATGCTGATGCTGATGTTGATTGGTGCTGGTGGTAGTTCTTTGCCGACTAGATGAAAGCAGTTGTGTTGTTCTGGTCGAGTTCACTTGCCCTCTAATAGTCAGGCAAATGAATGAATTTCTATTTTGGCCTTTGCAAGCACATCACTTCTTACAAGCTGATTTATTCTTTTTGTCGCCGATTTATTCGTGCGCAAAACGACGCTGGTTGGGATTAGTGGTGTAGCAGTGTCGTGTTGAGCCGCTGAACGATGGCCATTTGAAAAGCGCGATGCTGTCTACCGATTTGCTGGCGTTAGAATCCTCAGCCCGAAACTTACTGGATATTCTATTCTTCCCGATTGCCTTCCACTTCGTCCTCCTTTTCTTGCTGCAAACAAATTGTCTGTTTGTTGTGTCGCCGGTTCTTTGGTTGTTGTTCTTGCAGCAGTCAGCACACTTGCAGATTTTGCTGCTATATTTGGCTGAATTCTGCAAGCGGAAAGCGAACAAGAAAATCTTTCACTTTTTCAACAATGTTTAGACAGATGTGTGTTGGGTTGTCGCGCCACGAGCGTTTTCGGAGCACTTTACTAGGAAATTGATTGTTTCGTCCTTTGGCTCTCTTCTCTAGATGGCTAACCGGAGATTAGGCACCAGTTTGGTGCACTGTTGCACTGAACACAAAAAACGAAGACAAAACAAACGCGCTGAAGGCTGCCGATTCACTGCTAAAATGCCAATGGTGTCGTTTGATTCAGTTCAATTGATGCTGATTGAAGATGCACACTGTGGCGGTCGTTGATGGGCAAACGTCAAAATAAGAAGGGCGGGCAGGCAGAATTGAAGAGTCCTTCCTTT